AATCTACCAGACCGAAGAGAGGATGAAGAGAAGACGGAACTATATAAAAAATTAAAAATAACAAGGGGGTTGTTCAAGGGGGATTGGTTAATGACGAATAAAAGGGGAAAAAGAAAAATAACAAAAGAAAAATATTGTACCTGAGTTGCAGAGTCATCGCCACCTGTTGAAGTATCACTTGCCGGTGTTGCCGGCTTGCCGCTCTTGCTGCCTTGCTGGTGAGTGGCGCGGTGGTGCCAAACTGAAATTGCCAGTGCCAGACCGAAGAGAGGAGGAAGAAACAAATAATAAGACAGTTCAGATTCAGAGGAAAATCGAAAACGTAGGGATTAATTTAAAGAAGAGAATAGGATTAGAGGAAGGAAGACAAAGAGATTAGAGAAGATTCAAGATGAACTGACGAAGAGAAGCCAAGAAGACAAGAACAACAAAAAACTGACGAAGAGGAAGACAAAGACTCGAGGGTTTTGGGTTTACCCCTAATAGTTCAGTTAATTCGGTTAACCGAACCTCTAAATAGCGTACCCGAAACCGAAAATCGATCTTAATAAAATCAAAATTGAAAAACCGAACCGAACTGTTTATCCGGACTAACCAAACCGATCAAGTCGAAAGTGAAATTTCGGTTTGGTTATTAGGTTTCAACCGAACTATGCTCACCCCTAGCTGGGGTGCTATTTTAATAAGGGTAAAATACAAAAACCTCCATTGAAGTTTCTGACAATAATAAATTATTTTACATACAAAATTACTGAAATAATCCCATTTTAACTCAACAAAAACCTCTTTTAATGATCATTTCAGTAATTTTACATATAAAATTACTGAAATTTTGTTGAGTTAAAATGAAATTATTGCAGTAATTCTGTATGTAAAATAAGTTATAAAAGGGTAGAATGGATATTTGGAAAAAAACGGTGCATCAATCTAACGTTTTCCGTTTTGAACAATAACAAAAGGGAGGTTTTTGTTGAATTTCTCAAAAGTTCAAGAAAATTATTTATTAAAATAAAACTATAAGGGAGGTTTTTATCATTATCAGAAAGTTCAGTGGAGATTTTGTATTTTACCCTTTTAATAAAGATCATCAGTCTGATCTACCATCTATCAGGCTAATTTTCTTATGACCTTCAACCAGATATCCCCTGATTTAGGGCTGTCAATTAATTGGTCGGATCTGGTTCGGGGCAGCCTGCATCAATCCTGAATTGATTACTTAATCAGGACAAAATATGGATCCGAACCCTCCCAATTAATAATTGGGATAATTAGGTCTGACCCAATAGACCCGATCATACTGACATTATTTTAAGTAAATAACATTTTAAAATGTAATTTTTGATAATATAATCTTAGTAAAAATGACAATAAAATAGTAAATTACTTATATGTTAACATATCAAGCATTTTAATCAAAATTATCTTATATTATTCATCAAATTTACCCTTTTAGATATAAAATATAATAAAAATTATAAGAAAAATTAGAAAACCATTATATGTTATTAATAAAATAAATAGTTCAGGTCTAAATTGGTTCAAAATAAGAAAGAACCAGAACCAATCCAATTGTTCTGTGGGTGTTTATCAAAATGCCGCTATGTCATCGCCAAATCAACATTTTTTTTCATCATATTCATCCGTATTTATTGATATTCACAAAAGTGGGTTTTGATTTATATGCACACCAACCATTGGGGGAAGCTCCATTTTAACGCTTCTCCCAACGGTTGAGCGTTTATTCACTATTCCGCTGATATGATGCCTAATAGTATCTAGTTGTCCATAAATGATTTATTAAGTACTTTTCTCTATTTTAAAGACAAATCAAATACAAACATTCATTTAATAAACAGAAGCTATACTAAATACATACTAAAACTGATAAAATCTGTTTGGTCCGATTCAGTAGGCCGGATAGAATTGAACCGACCCATTGACATCCCTATCCTGATTGACACTGAAGATCACACCATATCAATAGGTCAAGAAAGGTAATATCAATGTATAGTAGGACAGAAATATGGATTGAATATTTGAGAACAACAAATACTAAAATCATTTGATTTGGTGTAATCATGAAGTTTCCATTTATACTTTGACAGGACCCTGAGATTATGCTTAATCAAATTGGACTTGAGTTTATTTATGGGTGAAGAATTGTTGCTATCTATATGAAATCTGTTTAAGTGTTTATCATCGTTTAGTTATTTCAATAAAATTCCAAATATTAGTACTTTTTTCCCCAAGACGAAGACAAAAATAAGATTGTCAAGATCTAGGCAATTAGTCTCACTTGTTTGTGTTAATGTGATTCTTTGTGGGGTCAAGGATGTTGCACAAAGCTTTTGCGAACTTAGATGCTAATCAGTATATAGACAAGAACCAAGAACAAATGGCATGTGAACTAGTGTTTCCTAATCCTTTGAAATGATCGAAGCCTTCTTCTTTTTAATTAATTTCTTTTTTCTCCTCTGGGCATGAAATTAGATTATAATTAGTGCTGGTAATACAAAGCAGCACAAGCTTTTGCACCAGCCCCTTGTTGCATGTGAACTCCCTATTCTTGTTTGGTTCAGTTTTCTCTCATGGCTTCTCTTAGTAGTCAAACCCAAATGTGTCCTCTCTCTCTCTTTCTCATTCCATTCAAATTCATTTTTTTTTTATCTGGAATAAATACATTAAACTTGATAAGTTAGTTTCATGATTTTATATGATCTATTTTCCTTTTTTTTTTTACAAATAAAGAAGGGGTTCAACTATTATGCCAGAAAGATATGATACCAGAAAAACTTATAACCAATCAGCCGGCATCATAAAAGGGGTAACCAATCAGGTGGATTTAATTTTCATCAAAATTCATGGGGTTGATTGATCAAAATCTTTCCGGTATTATGTCTTTCTGGCATCATATATGAGATAGTAATGATTTGATCTATTTTCACTTGGATTAAATTTCTAGTGTTGTGTTTATGAGAACTTTTCGGTTTGAATATAACCACAACTAGTTCAGTCTCTTGTTCATGGTGAATAAATTGAAAAATTTTTATGAGTGCAGATGGATTCCACTTACCACAATGGAAGATTCTTCAATACATCATCAATAGACTCGACATCACCGTTACTGCATTTTTCTGCATCCTTGACTTATTTGTTTATTCCAGTTCTAATTAGTTTCTGTTTTCTATATAGTAGTCTCTCCACAATTCCGATCAGGATCTTTCTTTCTTAACACTGAACCCATTTTCTTGAAGAGCCAGAAGACAACACAAATTTGTTCCCTTAGCTACGAGTAATTAACATTGAATTAATACTGCAATAAAATAACAATTCTAGCTATTGAATTTGTATTATTCTTCATAAAATAATATTAGCACCACCCAAATGGATATGGATTCCAATTTTCATTTAGATCAAACTACACATTGAACTTGATAATTTGTTTGCATGCATGTTATTTAATTAAAATTATTAGCTTCTAACCGCTTCCCAATATTTTCTTGAAGACTTATTGGCCCATAGTTTTGTGGTTTTGGACAAGTTGGCCAATTAGGAATTAAAATATGTCAAATCAGTATTGCAAGTAAGTTATATATAACAGATTAATTTAAGGCCTCGTTTCATTTCTGGGAATAGGGGTCTGGAATCAGAATGAATTATTTTGATTTTAATTGTTTTGTTGAACAGAATTAGAATCCATTTTCATTCTTGCTGGAATGGCATTCCCCCATTTGAGAGAATGGCCATTCCCTACTTCTCCATTGGGAATGAAATCCCATTCCTACTGATTTTAATTCCCATTTTCATTCTTATCTGAACCAAACAGAATATAGAAATAAATTATTTTAATTCTGATTCTGGAGAATTTCGATTCCAATTCCAACTGTGAACCAAAGCACAACCTAAATGTTTTGTTTGGTCAGTTTGCTGATGAAATTTTCACTAAAGCCCTATTGGGCGTTGTATGTCTGTAGTCCTACTTGCTATTTGATATATCAATACCTCTTCTGTTCTCTCATAGAATCATCCAATATCAAACATCAGATTTAATAACAGAAATTAAAGTAATTGTTTTAAAGGGTTTCCTAGGGTCCGTCAGAATCTGTTCATTATACAACCATTGTCTTTCGGCCAAGGGGACTCATGGTCATGGGGCAAGTGATATATCCAAGAACTGTAGGCATGTTCATGGCCCATCTCCATGTGAACTCCGTACTGCATTATATATTGGACTCCACTACTGAAAACATCAACCATTGAAGTTTCAACTTTTTTTCTCAAGGCAACTTAATTATTAAGAAAACCCCTACGCTAATTGAAATAAAGCTCTCTTTCTCCATGTGTGATGCTTTGTCAGGTTGAAGCTTGCCACGTGAGCATCAGATGAAGTGGCCATGATTGATGAACCAATCGGAGTCATCCATGCACCTTAGGCTGTGTTTGGTTTGGTAGAAAATAAGAGAAAAAAATTAAATAGAAAGTTGAAAAATTAAAGTTCTCAATATAAGTAATTTTTTCACAAAATTTCTTAAGAACTTTCCTTAATTTCTGTCAAACGAAATATAGTCTTAGTTTCACGTGTAAGATTCCCTGATTGTTGGTTGTCTAGATCTCTTTTTCAACCAGCAAAACCTGCTCTCTGGTTATATAAATTAAGCAAATTGAAAATATAGTTTTATATATATATATTTATGTAGTGCAAATCATAATTACACAGAAGAAATGAGCGCTCTTCCCTGTAAGCTGTTGGCTGCAACAGTTGATTCCGTGAAGGAGCCTTGGTTTCTTATCTTTGGAAGATCCATTTAATCTATCCAATCGAAATTACGAGCCCATTAACCAGAAGAAGAGAGCAGCTGACTTTTGTTGAGTATGTGCACGTGAAACACCAATAATTCTCATGCACTTGTGGGTCCTATGGCCAGCCCTTCTCCCTTTGTTCTCATGCCAAACTCCAATACTCGAGAATCTCTCCAGTCTCCCATTTTCTTCTTTTTCTTCTTCTTAGTTCTCCTCCTCTTATTTCTGTGTCTCTCTTCTTTCTCTTTGCAACCCATTAATTTCTCATCTTAATTTCCGTACTTCTCTCCAGCAGATTAAAACTAAAAATGGCAGGAGTGACTACTTTTCTGCCATTGATTCTCTCTCTTCTTTTCTTGCTTCTCAATGTTGGTAATGGGGTTCACTGTTTTGAGGAGAAGAAAGTGTTCAACTTGAAGAAGTTTCAATGGAGAGGCCCGAGCAATGTCCCAAGCTGTCAACCACAGAAATCAAGTGAGTTTGAGCTAGGAGAAAACAATATATAGTCTCGTTGGGTGTGGCTGGTACCAGCTTTTCTTGGCTTTTCTTCAAGATACATCCACTTTGGGTTCTGTGTTCTATCATTGTTTTTGTTCATTTATATATGCTTTGGGGTTGTTTGAATGGAGATCGACCCAAGGATTTTGGATGTCCCGTGAGGTCTGAGTTTTAATATTGGTTCTGCGAAGTATGAATTATTATTGATTTATGTACATTTGGGTCTTAGACTCTTAGCTTCTGCTTTTAATTTATGCTTTTCAAGTTTGTTTTAGATAGAACCCACTTGTTTTGCATAGAAAATGAAAAATAAAGGCCCTTATTATATTGAAATCTCTCTTCCTCTCTGAATGTGACATACTGTGAGTAGAACTTCCTATGAAAGCGCTTTTTTATGCGACTGCTTTGCTTTTTGGGGCTTTTCAGGAAAAGAGAACGGTGCAACGATACTGGAAATGAAGCACTGGGATTACTGCTCGGCCGGACTGGCCAAAGACTTGGAGCAAAAGCTTCAGAAGCGGTTGGTTGCGGATGACTCGCGAGTTCGGTCACTGCAATCCCAAATCCGAAGAGCAGCTTTTATAAGGACTGAAGGCCTTTCTGCAGCTCAACTCCCTCTGACATCTGGCATAAAACTTCAGACTCTAAACTACATCGTCACTGTGGAACTGGGTAGTAAGAACATGACAGTCATCGTAGACACAGGAAGCGATCTCACATGGATCCAGTGCGATCCCTGCAAATCATGCTATAGCCAACAAGACCCAATCTTCAAGCCTGCTATCTCCCCTTCGTATCGATCAGTTTTGTGTAACACATCCACCTGCCAGTCTCTGAAATTAGCCACCGGAAATTCAGGTGTGTGCGGGTTTGACCAAATGACCTGCAACTATGTTGTCAGCTATGGCGACGGGTCCTACACTCGAGGTGAGCTAGGCCGAGAGCGACTTGATCTTGGTGGCGTTGTTGTGGAGGATTTTGTCTTTGGCTGTGGTCGAAACAACAAAGGTCTCTTTGGTGGAGCTTCTGGTCTCATGGGTTTAGGCAGGACCGAGCTCTCCCTGGTTTCTCAAACTCGCAGTAAATTTGGCGGAGTTTTCTCCTACTGCTTACCTTCAACGGAAGGAGATGTTTCTGGTTCACTTACTCTGGGTGGAGATTCCTCTGTTTACAAGAATTCTACTCCCATTTCCTATACAAAAATGATTCCAAACCCACAGTTCTCCAATTTTTATTTTCTTAACCTCACTGGTATTAGCATCGGTGGGGTAGCCTTGGAAGCTTCAGGCTTTGCAAGAGCTGGGATGCTCATTGATTCTGGAACTGTTATTACACGGCTTGTGCCATCTGTTTACAAGGCTGTGAGAACTGAGTTCCTGAAACAGTTTTCTGGGTTCCCTTCAGCTCCAGGTTTTTCAATTTTGAATACATGCTTTAACCTCAGTGGGTTTGGAGAAGTGAACATCCCCACAATGAAGATGCATTTTGAAGGTGATGTTCAGGTGAATGTGGATGTTTCAGGGATGTTTTATTTTGCTAAACTTGATGCTTCTCAGGTCTGTCTAGCTGTGGCTAGCCTTACCTATGAAGACGAGATTGGGATTATTGGGAACTATCAGCAGAAGAATCTGAGAGTTGTTTATGACAATGAACAGACAAGGTTGGGATTTGCAGAAGAGATTTGCAGTTTTACTTAAGAGAGAAACTGAAAGGAATGGGAATATATATAGTTGTGAATATATTTATCCTGCTGAGACAAAATCAATGTGTACTTGGCAATCAGGTCCATGGGCAAATGCATCAAAGCATGGTTGCCTTTAAATCATTAACCAGATTCCTTGGTTGATATTACTCTAAATTACCATGGAAGGGATAATATTGTTAAACTGTTATTAGCTCATATTGTTTTTCATCAATTATTATGGAGAGAGGGAGGTATAATTCATTGTATGTGTGTTTGGTGACATTTGAATTTATATTGTTTTACTTATGTAATGTAGATATGAAAACTGAAGGATTCAGTTAGGTTCTCTGAATTATTTCAGAGGAAAGAGTTTATTCAAGAAAGTCATGTTTGGCAGGGACCACTGGTCTGTGGTAGTGAGGATTCATTGAGAATACACATCTAGGAAATGATTTGTTTTCCATTGTTCCACTTCGGCGTGCCAAGTTGGATGGACCAATTCCCCAGACACTTGTCAATAAATGGAGATCTAATCAGCTGTCTTGGCCCAGAGAGCAAAAAAATGCTGGCCCCTTACAACCGGGATATGCAGTATATGATCACTATGCACTATTGCTAAAATATTCTCATGTACGTGGTCTGTCTAATATGTGTGTATGTATAATTAGAAACATAGTTTATTAATTAATATAAAGTAATATTTGTAATACCAAAGAAATACTAATATGCCGCAAACAACATATTCCCCATGTAGTTATTACATGTTAGTTCTGGAGAGTTTGCAGACAAAGGATTATCAGAAATGTTAAAACGTTTTTTGGTTAATTTCTTAAACTCTTAATAAAAACGAGATAGTACTTGAGAGTAACTTAAAAAAAGTTTAATTTAGAATTTGATAATATTATGCCCATGAATAAAATTAATTATATATACAAATACAATGTATCAAGGTTTGGAATATGAACCCTAGTCCTTCACTAATAAAGGTTTTCAAATTTGGGTCTTTTCCTTGCTATTACAATGTTAAACATTAAAAAAAATAATTGGTTTTAATTTCTGATATTTGAAGAAATTAACTTCCCCATAATATAGTTGGGATAAAGCATTATTAGTAATGACAATAGGCATGAACTTCACAATAAATTACGTTTTAAATTAAGCATGTGATATATAGATGGTGAAGCAAAAGGGTGAGCATGAATCTATTACTCACACTGCTGTGTATGGCTTGCTATGTAACCAATCACAAGTAAATTAATACACCAACATTCCATATAATGTGTCATTTTTTTTTGGTATTATATAGTACATATATACACATTATATAGTACTATATAATGTGTATATAGTACATATATAGTACTATATACACATTATATAGTACATATATGCACTACTCCCATGAATTGGTAACTTCTTCCCATGCATAATAGCATGTAGTAGGAGGATGAGATGTTCTCCATATGTGACTGCGATGTTATGTGGGTAGACGTGGGCAGGAAATCAAGACTCCAAACAAGGCCCACTATCCATGTCATGGAGAACTTGCAGTTCGGTGTGCATTTGATCCCACACTCCTTTTTCAGAGTGACCATCTTGGCATGCACCATTTGCTCAAAGACAAGAATTTTAGAAAATATTATTTTGTGAAAAATTATAGGAGGTATCTTGTAATTTGGGTTTAGTGACATTTAAGGGCCTCAACTTTCACTTGCAACAAAAATATGCACTTCAGTCTGGCAAAGGCATAACTGTTGGATAGTACTCCAATCAGATTGATATACATATCAATTTATTGTAAATGAATAAAAGTACATAATTGTTTCATGTTATAATTGGTGTGTTTCTGTGTAATTACCCTTAGACTGGACACTTATGAGACTCGTGTTATTTTAGAATGTTCTTAGCCATTGGACAGACTTAAGGAAGCTTATCTTGCCAAGGCTGATATTGGTGTGCTACCAAGAAGGTTGGGGCGGCTTGTCTTTGTTGCCAAGGTTAAACTCAAAGCACATGCAGTGTGTGTTTGTTCAAAACACTGAACCCGGACCAATTTCCAGTTATGCCCTGGACCTTGGAGACTGGTGGGCAAAATTTAAAAGTTACACATAACTCCTAGGCTCGATTATGATACTACATTGGGTGTCAGATAGGGCTATTTTTGATATGCCAATCAGTGAGATCCTTTGGGTGTCAAAACCTGGGTATGTTGGGGTAGTCTGAGAATTCACTCGAGTGGGTGATCATAGTGATGGGATCAGCCTCTTTGCCGGATAAAGTGAATGACCGGGACTGCACTCTCTCTGATGGAAACCAAAACTGTCGGCAATCGATTTCAAATTTGTTTGATATATATATATATATATATATATATATATATATATAATGTTTTAAGAAAAATGTTTGCAAAAGGTTTTAATTCCCGAGACCCATCTAAGTAGAGAGTGCGATCATTATGGGCTGAGAAGTTAAGTGTAAGAGACCATTTAGGGATATTTTACCTGATGGGCTATATCTCACTTAAGTCCATTATCCTTGGGCCTTCATAGGATGGCTGAACTCAATGATCATTTAGTGTAAATGTTGGGCCCATTAAGAGCCCATACTAATGGACTCAGGGGTCCACTGTACTTGGCAGTGAATTCAGCCAGAATTTTTCACAGAAGCGCCAAACCCATATGGGCTTATGTGAGGTCAATGTTGGGGTCCCATGCCATACAAAGAGAACCAAATGGGCCAACAACTATCTAGGGTCGTGAGCCACTTACTTAATGGGCCTGAAGCCCATGATTAATTAGATTAATCAAGTGGTCACATGACAACTTAAGCAGTCATGTGACATGGGTGAATATGGGTATGGATATGGGTTTGGATTAGCAATTAGGATAAGAGGATAAATCTTATCTACTTAAAGAGTCCAAATCCAAATAAAGATTTGGACTAGGATCCTCCTAATTCGATTAGGAGTGCTGATCTTTAAGGCTTATAAAAGAAGGAGGGTGAACTGCTCAAGTTATCAGTTTTCTCTCATTTCTCTCTTCCTGCTCTTGCCGCCCAGAAACCCTAGTTCGACCTCTAGTTATTGAACTGATAAAGTTCAGTTCTGATTTCTGATTTTTACAAGAAAATATCATATTCAATTCATTCTCACCTCCCTTGCTCTATCCAAGCTATTGGGTAACAGTTTTTGCTGAAAAACTGTGTTGCTGAACCGACTCCAATTCAAGCCGCACCATCTTCAGTGGAAGCTGGTTTTGGTACACTCTTTGGGCGTTAACTACCACTTTGGGAGCTACACTTGTGGATTCCGTATCAGGTATATTTCTCCCTTTTCTGTTGGTTTCAAATCTGGTCTGGTTTCAATGCAAGAATGATCCTAGAAAAAACATTTCTTCTAAAACCTGGAATACGATTCCAGAAGGATAAAAAATAATTTTTGAAATTTTGCCCAACCATCTAGCATGGTTCAGCCATCCATATAATGGATTTCCCCTTCCTTCATTAACCTCACATCGAAATTGTGAGGGTTAAACCTCAAGGTGTACTCTTCATATCTCAGGGTTAAATCCTTTTACACAATGCCTCAAATTACACGATACAACCTTATAATTTTCCCTATTATTTTTCATACTTATTTTTGCAATATTACTAATGTTCTCTTCTTTCATCACCCCTAATGGGCAAACTGATTTGGACTTACACTTTGAGTGGGGGCTCATCACATCCGCTTCAGCTTATAAAGTGGTATGCAAGGTTAAAAGTATCGAAAACGCCAAGTTTATTGGAAAGGCAATTTTAAGAGACGTATTGAGATACGCCTTGGATATGCATGTGTATGGGAGAAAAACTAAGATACGCATAAATACACTTGGAAACACTATAAATACTTTAATAAATCATAAAAATACATCAACAACATTAAATATAAGACCTCATTGAGGTGTATATACATTAAATTAATATATTTTAATGGTTTTATGAAGAAATGTATTATAGCTAATTATAATTTCATTAAAAATCCTATGCTTAACTATAATTTATAAATTATAATTCTTAAGTTTTAATGTTTTATGGGATGAAAAAATACCATCTCTCGTATCCAACCATAAAACATGCATTGACACAACTTCTATGTGAAAATATAATTAATAATTATTATTTATTATTCATTTCCAAAAATTATAAAAAGAAAATAAACATTATATAGTATATTAAAAAAATAGTTATTAAGAAGAAATTTCATTTACTTTGTGGATATGATAGACCATCCATAGAATTATGATATATTCAATCATTGTGATTAAATGATAAAATATAATTTAGTAATTATTTATTTTTTAATTCTAAAATAAAAAAATAAAAAAATAATTATTAAAGAAGAAATTTCAATTAGTCTGTGGATATGATAGATTGTCCATAGAATTATAATAAATTATTTATTATTTATTTTTAAATCTAAAAATATAAAAAATAAAAAAATATTAAAGAAGAAATTTCAATTGCTCTATGGATATGATAGATAAATCCATAGATCTAAAGCATATTTAGTCTTTATAAGTAGAGAAAAAATACATTTTCAAATTTTTTGTTAATTTATATTTTCCCCAAATCTTCATGAAATTTCCCTAAATCTACTGATAAGACAAAAAAGAATTGTGATTTTGAATGTAAGAAATGTAGATCAACATAAATTTAAACATTCAAGAAACAAAATAAATCACAAGATATTATAAAAGATTGAAAAAATTTACCTATTTTTTCCATATTTTTTCAAAATTTGGAAAATCTTTTAAAAAAATAACAATTCACACTTGTTTCTTGCAAACTTTTGCAAACCTACAACTCTAAGAATGAAATTTGGAGTTTTAGAATCATTAGGGGGTGAAAGAAGGCTTATTTTGGGGAAAAGAATGTTGCTTTCCCCCTTTAATTTTTTTTAGTTTTTGGTTGTATCTTTTTCGTCGATACACTACCGATATGCCCCGATACAGGTCTGATACACATGAAAAAAGACGAAATGTCCGATTTCCATGCATATCTTGTATCGATTTTTCAAAGATACAATACGATACGATACACCCTGTATCGAGCATATTATATCGAAATTTTAAACCTTGGTGGTATGTAATACCTACTCTTCCTCTTCTCAGAGCCCACTCAATGTATCTAATCTTACTTGGAAGGAGTTTTGGGCCATGAAATATTTCCTACAACAGCTATTCCTATTTGCATGAAATGCATTAACGAAGGGATGGGGGTGCAATTTGGGCAATCTTGAATTGGGCTTTTGTCAAAATTTGAATGGGTCTGAACTGAAGATCCAAACCTGAGCAATGTAAAATGCTCACCTGGGCCAACTCAAGTTGCACCCCTAAGGGATGCTCTCTCAGGGTTTTCTACAAGGGTGGAACACTAATTCATGTGTAACTACACAAATGAAACACTAATTCATCTCTTTTTT